CGTTACCGCTGGCTGCTATAAAGCTGCCTGTTGTATAACCGCCAGGCTATGAGAAGTTGGGAGGTCACAGCAGGGGCAGCAAGGCTGCGTGCCAGCTCCATATCTTTATTTTCCTGTAGTCGTCTTGCACGAGTTGTGGCTGGTGAGAGGACGCAGGTGTGGATAAGCTTTGGGTATGACAGTAAAGCCCTTTTACTTTCATTGCCGAGCCACCACCTCTTCTGGCGAGTATCTTGAGACCTTTTGCAGACATCAGAGTAGAGTCGCTGAATTGGTCCCGTAACCACACAGAGAAAATCAAGTTACAGGCATAGGAACGTACATTGAAGTATTCAACCACCGATACCTACAGTTTATTCATTTGTTTTTGTACTCTAGCATTCAAAAAAGAAAGTCTATGCAAGTCAGGATTTTTTTTTTCTAATCCCCTATAACAGCCTTCTAGCTAGTTCCCATTTTGCCCAAAGCTGATGTCACAGTTCCTTGTATTAGAAAGACAGGTCTCTGCACTTACAGCTTTTCCTTCTCGTTACCACCAGCTGTGCTGCAGCACAGGCTTGTGCTATCAAAGCAAGTTATTTTCCCTGTGACCTCCTCTGAAGCCTGGCCTGGCCCTGGTGTCCTGTCAGTCTGGAGCCTTTCTGTCGTCTGAGGAGTGCTTCTAACTGACTCCATCGCCAGCTGAGACATGTGCTCCATTTTCTGGTATGTTACCAGTTCTCATTATGGAACACAGAAATGAAGGGTTGCACTACATTTTCCATAACATGTCCACACCATTACAATAATGTCCCGGAGACCAGCTCTGTTTTGTGGTGTCTGTTGTCAGTGGTGGGAGATCTCTCTTTTGCTGTGCACCTTCTGTCTCATGCTCGCTGGGGCTGCCAACCCTGGCACAGGATACAGGATGCCTCTCGCACGGGAGATGTGGACCAGGACTGCTGTGACCAGTCCAAGCTTTGCTGTGAGGAGAGGCATGGACAGGGTTAAGCATAAGGGGCACTAAGGCGTCTTCCTGTCAGCAGAAGGCAGAAGGAGGTGACAGGAGATAATGTAGAAATGAATAGGAAAGACATGATTTCACCTCTCACAGACAAGCAGTATTTTATAAAATGACTGTGAATTTGCCTCAAAGTAGCTCGCGTCTCA